TATATATATTTTGTGTTGCAGGGTCTCACTACACAGCTCAGACTACTTGTGGTGATCCTCCTGCTTTCAGCCTCCCCAGTGCTGGGAGCTAGGATTACAGGCCTGCACCATCGCTGCTGCCTAGACGCTGCTTAACCTGCCCTGGGGGCAGGGCTGGCAAGGCAGGTGGTGTTTCACTTCCAACTAAGGTCCCTGTGCTTGCTTAAGCTTCCCTAAGCAGGCACTTTAGTCCACTGAGCTATGTTGCTGACCCCCAAAAATTATATTTGTAATCATACTGTAATACTGAAAGTAAGGAAGTAATTGATAATACAACTTTGTTCAACATGTTGTTGTTTTATAGATCATTATTAAGGACCCCGGGTATAATAATGAACACAATGCATGCTACGATGGCTCGGATTTTAAGAACTCATCTGATAAATTCTTCATGGATTCTGGATCGAGTGAAAATATTTTCCTGTCTTGGTGTCATTAGAAATAGAATGATATCAACCCATAAGTCCAGAAAGAAGATCAGAGAATATTATAGGCTGCTGAATCTAGATGAGGGGTGCTCTGTAGAAGATGTCCGGGAATCTTTCCGTAAGCTTGCCAAGCAATACCATCCAGACAGCAGTTCTAGTGCTGCAGACTCTGCAACATTTATAAGGATCGAAGAAGCATATAGGAATGTGCTTTCCCATGTGGTAGAACAAACAAATGCCAGACGGAATAAAGTGGAAGAAACAGAAGAAGAAGAAGAAAAATTCAAATATAATACACCCCAGCACCGCCATTATTTAAGTTTTGAAGGTATTGGTTTTGGGACTCCAAGTCAGCGAGAGAAGCAATATAGGCAATTCAGGGCAGACCGTGCAACCGAGCAAGTGATGGAATATCAAAAGCAGAAACTGCAAAGGCAGCATTTCGCTAACAGCGTAACTGTGAAGGATGTAAGACAGAGCAGGGAACAAAAGATAACTCAAGCAATAGAGCGATTAGTGGAGGACCTCATTCAGGAATCAATGGCCAAAGGAGATTTTGACAATCTTAGTGGGAAGGGAAAACCTCTAAAGAAGTTTTCTGGCTGCTCATATATTGATCCCATGACCCACAACCTGAACAGAATATTGATAGATAACGGATACCAACCAGAATGGATTCTGATGCAAAAGGAAATAAGTGATACTATTGAGCAACTTCGAGGGACAATTTTAGAGTCTAGGAAAAAACTTGGGAATCCAATGACACCTGTAGAACAACGACAGTGGAAGAAAGTCTGTGAACAATTTGAAGAAAACATCAGAAAACTAAACAAGCGAATTAATGATTTTAATTTAATTGTTCCCATCCTGACCAGGCAAAAAGTCCATTTTGATGCACAGAAAGAAATTATCAAAGCCCAGAAAATGTATGAGACTCTTAGCAAAACAAAAGAAGTTACAGATAAAAGTCCAAATGACATTAATCAGGGAGAAGAGAAAACTCCTAGGGTCAAAACAGGTTTTTTAAGCTGGATAAATCTGTGGAAATTTATTAAAATATGATGCCTGGAATATTTGCTGTCACAGTATTACCCCAGTTTATCTTCACCTGACATCACACATAAGATGCTGGGATTATTGCCCTACCACAAGAGTTTGACCTGTGTGCCCTTTGTCACAAAACTGATCACACCCTCCACTGATGTATGAGAAAGCTAAGAATCTGAGCCAGAAATTTTCAGTCAGCTTGTGAGGATATAGCAAAACAAAAGATCTTGTGTGAGAAAGTTAAGAAACTGTCATATTTTCTATTATCTCTACTCATAAGGATATCGCAAAAGAAAAGATCTCACTTCTAACAAAGACAGTCCATTTCAGAGTTCAGGTATCAATAGGTGAGGGGCCGGGGAGATGGCTCAGTAGGATAAGCTCTTCCTGGCAAGCTCAAGGGTTTGAGTATAATCCCCGGTTCTGGAAAAAAGAAAAAAAAAAAAAAAAGTGAAATGAGCTAGAACTGAGACGAGCGAATCAGATAAGGTATTTGAAAAATCCTATTGCAGTTTAAGGCTCTGATAACTTAGAAACAGTTGCCATTTTCAAACACAGGTAGTTGAACAACAAAATCCTAACTATTATCAAAGCATAAAACTGAAGAAGTATAGTGAACTATCATCTACTAAACCCCCAGATGACTTTTTTTACAAGTTTGCTGCAGTTCTACTCCTGAGCTTAGTAGAACATCTATAAGGGTGAAAAGGTTAAGATCAGGAAATTAGTTTGATAGAGTTGCTTCCCTCTAAAGGCCTTCTCTTTGGGTACTGAATGGAAAAAAAAAAATCTAGGTTGTGCTTTTTCTTGCCTAATTCATGATCCATTGGGTACAGAAATCAATCACACAAGGTAGGTGATTTACAAATGCCTACCCAGTTAAATCAGACTCCTCGGAAGCTTTTTTTAGGGCAGAGCTGGTGTGGCAGGTGGTGCTGGGGATTGTACAGTGTCCCCTGCACCTACCTAAGCTTGCCTAAGCAGGCACTTTAGCCTGCTGAGCTATCTCACTAGCCCTTGAGAGGCTTCTGAGTGATGTGAAAATCCAATTTACTGTCTTAGGACCTAACCTGCTTTAGGGGACCCTTTAATAAATAAAAGACAAGGTACAGTATCTGAATTTTCTGCACTTGTATCTTTGGCTAATGTCAAGAGATTGAAACTCAGGATTCTTTTTCCAGGTTATTATTGTGCCCTGTTGATTTTCAGAAAATCTAAATTTTAGCCAGGTGTAATGGTGCACACTTGTAATCCCAGTACTTGGGAAGTGGAGACAGGAGCATCACCAGGAGTTCGAGACCAGCCTGGACTACATAATGAGTTCGAGGCCAGTCTGAACTACATAGTGAGACCCTGTCTCAAAGGAAAGAAGGAAAGGAGAGGGGAAAATCCAAAGACTTGGATAATTGCTATTGAATGATCGGCTAGGAAGAAGTAGGTGAAGAACAACTGGTCTATTTCTAGAATGCTTTGGTGGGGCTGGAGTGTAGCTAAGTGGTAGATTTAGCATGCCTGAGGCCCTGAATTCAGTCAGTACACCCCTCTAAAAAACAATAGAATAGTTTGGCATAGATGTGAATCAGAAGCCTGGTACCCGACACTCTTAAAAGCATAAGTTTTTTGTAAAGTGTATGATAAGTTTAAATCAAATAAAACAACATTCTCAAATTTGGAGCCTTTCTGCTTAGATAAGGGGACATCAGTTGACAATTTTTAATTCAACGAATTATTTCTATACTAACAATACTTTAAATAAAATGGTAAACAGTATGAAATTTGTGTGTGTGTGTGTGTGTGTGTGTGTGTATAAGAGACAGACAGGGTCTTCTATGTAGTTCAGGCTGGTCTTGAGCTCACTGTGTACTGCATATTGACCTTGAACTTGTAGCTGTCCGCCTACTCCAGCCTCTTTGAGTCCTAGGATTACAGGCATGTGCCACCATGCTCAGCTCAGTAATACAGCTTTATAATAGCCATTGTTTCAAAAACATTTTGGAAGGCTGTAGTTCTGTGACTTTCATTAAAAATTGGAGTTAGATATAAAAGTCTTAATTGTATTGCAGAAAACCTGAATGAAACTATTTTAAGTATTGGATAATGGAAAGATGAAATTTCCAGAACACTTAATTTCAGCACAATGCACTTTATGTTTGTAAATGGCTATGTTAATAAAGTTATTTTAATGACTATTCAATAGTCCATTTTTAAAAAAATTGTGTGTGTGTGTGTGTGTGTGTGTGTGTGTGGCCAGCTCAGCCCACCAGGGGGCAGGGCTGGCTGGCATGTAGTGCTGGGGGATTGAACTGTGGTCCCTGTGCTTTGCTAAGCTTGTTCTAACTAGGTGCTTTAGACCACTGAGCCATCTCACCAGCCCCTCAGTAGTCCATTTTTCAAAATTTAATTTTATGTTTGTCTTTTTGAGACAGGGCCTCACTGTGCAGTTCAGGTGGGCCTTGAGTTCACTTTGTAGACCAAGGTAGTCTCAAACTTACAGTGATCCTCCTGCCTCACCCTCCCTAGTGCTGGGATTACAGGCATGCCTGGCCTAAATGTTCCATTTTTGTATAAACAGCTAATGCTAATAATAATGATATTTTTTGCCAACCACCTAAGTAAATTTTTTTTTCTATATTTAAGATTTTATTAATTGTGCTGAGGACCAGTACAGACAATTCACATCATACACAATTCTTAACACATGTACCCAAAATCTAAAAAAGCATATATTGTTTTTCAGTTATTCCAGTGACTTTCCATCTCCATTTTTTTTTTTTTTAATGTATTTGGTTGTTACAGGGGCGCACTATACAGCTCAAACTTGTGATCCTCTCGTTTTCAGCTCTCCAGCGCTGGGATTACAGGCCAATGCTACTATGCCCAGACTGTGGCCAGATCATCCTGCCCTGGGGGCAAGGCTGGTGTATCCTGTGGTGCTGGGGGATGAACTGTGGTCCCTGTGCTTGCCTAAGCAGGCGCTTTAGTTCACTGAGCTATCGTGCTGCCCCTCCAGCTCCGAATTTGGAGCCATTTTTTGTGAGAGGATTAAGTACCAGTATCTTGAAATGCTAATAAAGTATTACATGTAAGTTCCACTTTAGGTCACGATTTTGTGTCTTATACACTACATACTCAAATTTTCAATCTTTCACAGCACATTAACAAAATTAGGCCAACTGGACTACTACTACCAAAGATGTTCAGGGCAACAATTAGGAAGTAGTTTTCTTTAGGAAACAGTTCTACTAAAAACAACATGGGAATAGAAGTCATTTAAAGTATCCAAGACATATTAAATGCATAACTTGATTGCAAATTGCCATTTAGTATGCTTTGAATTGTAGAATATAAATCTCACCCCAACCTATGGAATGTTAAGCTGACACCAAAGACAGTCAAAACCTGCCATAATTCAATATCCCACTATTTTCTGGTTGTACCAGAAAATAACCAGAGAATGATTTCACCCCTAAAAATATCACTTATAGTTATGTTTTAAAATTTTTTATTTTTAAAAAATTTATTTATTTATTGGATACAGGGTCTCCATACACAATTCAGACTCATAGTGATCCTCCTGTCTCAGCCTCCCCAGCACTGGGATTACAGGCGTGGACCACCATACCCAGTTTCAGCTGCACAGACTTCCAGGTCTAGTATAAGATGTAGGAATGGAATTGAATTTGGGTCCTTGCACTTGCCAGGCAGATGTTCAGACCGTTGAGCTATCTCCCCAGCCTTTTCTATTTATTTATTTAAAAATTCTTTTACTAGGGACGGCCAAATAGCTCAGCACAGGGGCTGGGGGTTTGATCCCTGGGCCTGCAATGCTGGCCCAACCACTGAGGCATGGTGAGTTGGCAATTGAGACTGGGTATGGTGCTGCGCGCCTGTAATCCCAGCTCTTGGGAGACTGTAAACAGTGGATCACTACAAGTCCAATCTAGTAGTGAGACCCTGAACACCCTGTAGACTATTCCCTAAAATTAAAAAAAAATATATTTTATTATCATTTACATTTAAAATGCGATGAGGTAGGATTCTCTCCTTTAATCTTTCAAGGTCAATGAAGACTCGACATAGGAGGTCCTGTACTATAACTCAGTTTTGTCCCAAATTTTTTGATCAAGGAGATTATAGGGCCACAGAGGAAAGTGATTGATGATGTAGAGTGTGCCTAAGGAGAGTCACCTGGAGAGAAAACATTCTCACAGGCTTTCACAGAGAGCAACTTGGTCAAGCAATGGCCGTGACTCATCCACATGGCTGACACTGACAAAGGATCTACAAACTGTGGTACAGGGTTTCAAGATAAATCCTGAGGGGATTTCACTGACCTTATCAGATACAAAAGTTACATTTCTTGTTGCATAGATCTTGCTTTATCTTGGTCTTAACCATCTAGCAGAAAAGTATAAAAACGAAATATAAAAAGTAAAGCCATATTAACATGCTGAGCTATAAAAGGCTGAAGTCAATAACTTCTGGCATTGCCAGTCTTACGGAAAACCTACTACTATTATGGACTATTGGACTGTATTGGAATATTTTGCTGAATTCATGCACTTACAATATTTAAATGACAATGGAATGCCCTTCTCTGACAAAACTAATTAAAAACGGGGGATACAAGTGAACAACCATTTTGTATCAATATACTCAAAATAGGATAGATATACAGCTGCATTCTCTTAATTCAATGAATGGGGAGAGTTGTTCTAATAGTGTTTATGAACAAGATATCATGTCTGCGTCTTGTACAATGAATAACCACTAAGAAGACAACAATATGCAATGTATTAATTATTGAAACTGTGCTAGTAATTGGTTCTGAAACTGTCCCATTGCTATTTGTTTCTCAATAAAATTATTTTTTAAAAAAAGAAAAAATGTTTCAGGGCTGAGAAGATGGCTCAGTAGAATAAGTGCTTGCCTGGCAAGCACAAGGGT